CATAAATACTATAGAATACAGTGTCACATAGATCTAATCTCTGGTGGAATGGCGTTGATTATCATTCTGAATCTAAGAAGTCGTCGAGCTGCCTGACTCGATCTACTGTCGTTTTTTGAGTTGCTGAATAGGGTCCTCTCTCTTGTCTTTCTTATAGCGAAGGGCTCTAAGTCCGGACATCATCCTGAGAGACAAGGACAACATACAGTGGAGAGGCATGCTGTTGAAAGCTACCTCCTGGAAATAGCCGCGTATCTTATGGGGGATATAACCGTAGGTTGACGTCTCAAGTCCGACGGTGGTGAGGGCTTGTCGGACATAGGCATCCGGGGTCGGAACATTGAGGCTGGCTTTGCGGATCTTGGACATTTTCGTCGACACGAACGCTGGCTTCACTGACTGAACGATAACTCCGAGATTCTGATATTCACATGCGGTCGCCTGGGAGAGGAATTCCATATAGCTTTTCGTTCCCGCGTAGACGCCGAGCAGCGGCAACGGGTACATGTTCGACAAGGACGACACGTTAATGACAACTCCACTGTGTCGAGAAGCCATTCCCGGAAGAACAAGACGCATCATCAGAGTTCCCGACGTGCAGTTGGCCTGGATCATCTGATCCATGAGGTGATCACCATCGGGCACCTCGGTGAAATACTCCGGGTACGGGAAACTCATGCCGACATTGTTCACCAGCACAGCGACTTCGAGATTCGAGATGAGCTTGCGGATGACTTCATAGCAGCCGCGGTCGTTCGAAGAGAAGTCGACAGACAGGGTTTTCGTTTCAACTTTGAACTTGTCCTGGATCACGGCAGCGACCTCATCGAGCTTCGACTGAGTCCTGGATATCAAACAGATGTTGATACCCTTCTGCGCGAGCTGTTCCGCGTAGGCCCTGCCGATGCCATCGGACGCTCCCGTGACGACAGCCCATTTCCCGGCGAACTTTTTGAAGTTCACGTTGTGACCGAGGAGTTGGCCCAGGAAGCAGTGGTATGCGCCGCGGACCAATGATTGCAGCAGGCGGAGCGTACCCAAAATCAGGAACAGCAATCCCGAATACGCGATGAACCTCGACGCGAATGACATGTCGGGGTTTTGGAAAACGCAGGCCTGCTCCATTTTCGCTGAAGGGATGAAAAAAATTCTTCGGTTAGACTTGTATTTCAAGTTCCCGACCTTTTCCGGGGAATCATTTCGTGGCTCAAGGACTTCTCATTCGGCTACAAGAGAATGCAGAAAATTTCCTCCCGAAGCGAGTCGGTATACGGATTATCGTTCAGCTCCGCTGCTCATCTCCTGGTGTTCGTCCACGATGAACTGGGATCAAATTGGTTTCGCCCCTCTCATAGGGAGTGAACCCGGTAGATATTTTCAGAAAATATCACCTATCGAGGACAAATTATTCCGCGATCCGATGGGTTCCACCTGCTTCACTGTCAGTCCGTGGAGTATTTTCCACCCACCTAGAGGAAGTTTTTTGGAGCGCAATCCGAACGATTGTTGAGCGGAAACTAAGGCAGAGTTCTCCGAGCGCTTCTATTAGGGCACCAGTTGTGAATGAGCAAATTCTGTTATATCCGCGAAATCACACACCTAAACATCGTCTCGCGGACTCAACATATTTGAGACCGCTCCGCCGCAGCTTCATACATGAGTAGCACGACCGGAGCGCAGCTCAAGGTTGCTGAATGGGCTCGTGTTTGTGGAATGATCTCCTTGAATGTTCCGTTTCCGTGGAACAAGGGAACGCTCAAGGAAGATGCTAGTTGACAATGGCTGTGAGCACAGAATCAGAACGGAAGCATCCAAGTGTGCCCGTCTAAGCTAGAGGAAAATTTCTCGCATGGCGAAGCCGGCGAGTCAGAAGAAAATCCATTCTTTAATTCTCCTCGACCTGTCGGTTGTGCAGCATGAATCGTTGCATATATCAGATCCAGAGGAATCATATAAACCTCCTCAGCGGGGCGGGCTACCACGATGGTCACCAGATATCTGGGCCGAAGAGCCTACGATTCTCTCGGTTCGAAGATGGTCTCGAGCGACGTCATCGGCCCAGAGAATATTTCTCGCTCGCCATTCATATGCTGAGAGGATCTCGCCGTGGATGCTCCATCCATCGTTCGTGGGAGTTCGAGCTCAACGGCCAGAACCCTAGTCCCTCTGAGAGACTCGAAGATGTTCAATTCCCATACACTTGCACTCGACGGCACGTTCAGTGATCGTGACACGCGGAGTCCACGATAACGTGAGTTTCCGACTCACGTGGCTCCATGTCACCTCCTCAGACGGGATCTGCGCTCTCCTGAGTCTTACACGGGCTCTGACTGGTCGTCTGATGACGGCCGACAGAGATAGCCCTCACTCTTTCCTGGTCCCAGACAGCGGATAGGCGGAGAATCAAGCCGAGATCTTGCGAAAGGCTGTCCGGGAGTTACCCTGTATTTCGTCGCTCGACCCTAGGTGAGTGAAATCGACGCAGCGACTCTTCGAGGCAGCTGGGAACGAGGCGACGGACAGGGTCGACTCGACTCCGACGTAGAAGGGGAGGGTGGACCGGCGATCGCGGCGGAAGCATCATCTACTCGGCATAGAATTCCCATCGGCAAATAATCCGGCAGAGGAGTCCCCGCGGCCGAGAAATTCATCCGGCTTGCATGGGAGCACGCACTCGATTCCGCCCGCGCTGTCGAGGTCCAAGACGGCGGGCGAAATGAGCTCTGCGTCTCGAGAACAAGCGGGTGAGAAACGTTTCCGCAATGACGTAGCCGAGAACTTCGACATATCGGAAGGGATGCCCGGAGTCAGCAATCGCGTAAGTTCATGATGACGGTCTTATACCTCGAGCATATGAGCCCCGAATCGAGACACCGCAGGAAGTAAAGTCTCAGTCTTCGGAAACCAGCCTCCGACACGCCGTATGAGCTCATTAACATCGTGTGTCCTTTTCTGAGTCTCACCCAGGTAAACGTGAAATTCTAACTGGCCGCATTCACAAGAAGTGTAATGGTATGCAATTGATGGTTTTCCCGGTGCCGCGAGGACTTCCCGGAGATTTTGCTGCCATCGAGCTGGTGGCGTCGAAGGACCCAACCTCAGGGAGCTGATTGAGAGAGCTTTCGACGATGCTTCCCGCGATGCACCGACTCTGCTCTCGGAACACAGTTTCCTCGAGGAAGAAGGATACCGATACGTATCTCGTAATCTCGTCGATCGGACGAAGTAGTGCGGTGGGAATCCCGCCGGTTTTCCTCACACTGGACATCGAAGCGCGATGTACGAGGAAGCCAAGATCATCGCTTTGGAAAACAGGTCAAAGCTCTGCGAGACATATCTGGCTTAAGTCAAAAATACATCCGGGCTGAAAAATACGAAGGAGCTGCGCGCTCTGTCAGATTTTGTCTCCGATCAGATCGAATGTTTTTCCTGAGGGATCCGTGCCAGAAACGCGATGCACTAATCGAAATACTCGAGTTGCCCGAGACTCGCACACAACGCTTGATTGATGAGAGGACAGGACCGAGTTCGTCGCTCGCGACAAATCGGAAATCGAAAACATACGATGATCGAATTCCGTCGACCATCTGAAGTTCTCAGGGAACAGTTGTCTTCTATCGAAAACGGAAACTATTGACAGCTGAAACAAGGAGGTTGCGAGAGTCAATGGTGTCTTCGCTCATCACGATTTGCCATATCCGCCGTGAGAAGGAATGACGTCCAAATACGTGAAATTCCCCCCGCCGTCTTCGAGTGACGTCGGAGAAATTTTTCAACAACAAGAGCCATTCAGCTTCTCAAGGCTGAAGGCACCACATCCGGTTGGAGGGTGAAAAGATAGGAAGCGGGGATCGGATATCGCAAGTGCCTCGTCGACGATGCCTCTTGATTATGATAGTGGGCAGTAGATGAGAGGAGTTCGTTGCAATTCGACAGGATAAGCCGAAGGATTTTATCGACTTTGAATAAAACTCTTCAACGGACGCCTAGTCAACACGTAGAAACCGGGACACTTTTCCAGAGCTCCACGAACACGCACTATGCGGACTCTGACACTTCTCCCATAGATCTCATTAAAGCGGGAGCGTCGCCCATCGGAGAGGAAAATAAGCGACGCATGCTAAATCTACGAATTCCGCATGACAATGACTCCGTGATGCTTTCGGTAACCACGAAGAAAAAACCGACATCCCACGCGAGACAGTTCGGTGATTCGACAAGATACTCGAATTAGACGCAATTTCTGACGGCTAAGGATTTCGCCGATTCGCCTCGCGTCAGGGGACTAAAATCACCTGTTGGAGATGCGGAATCGACTCGATTGTTTATCGACACCTCGATGACCCCCCAAAGCCAGTTTCCATTTCTTTCTATGCAAGAAATGACGTTTGGCAGCATTTCCGACTTGACGGGGAGTTTTTGGCTCGTCAGAAGAGCCGATCGACAGGATACATAAGTAGAATCTGCAATTCTTCCACACGGATCTTTCACGAGCATCCCCGCCGGATGACTCTCCGGAATAACCAAATACTTGCGCGAGATCCCAATGCACACGATTCGAGCAGTCACAATGGGACACGATCCCGGGAACGCGGGAAAATAGAGGAAATTTCATGGCTTACCTCTGCGTAGGCACTATTCTCTGTCCAATGAAATGAAGCTCAGTCCGGTAGTCTTCGTTTCAGCAACGTCAGCAGAACGCCACGGCGAGCCCGAAGGAAAGTCTTTGCTCCGGCTGGTTGTATATCTCTCGTCACCTCTTCTCTCAGCTGAGGGGCCGACGTAAGGGTTTGGCGCGCGAATTCAAAAAACACTTCTCGGGACCAACGACGCTGATGTGAATTCTGCCTAGCCTAGATGAAACTTTGCAGCGTCGGGACTGTGTATTCCGGTCTAGATCCAGCGCTGTCCTAATTCTGGTGGCCGATCGAAAGGAAATCTGTCTAAGACACCGACATCAATGATTCAATCAGAGCAGCTTTAGCTCTTTTATAGCTCGTTTCTCCGGATGAGAGACCCGTACCATGAAAGGAGAGAAAGAAAGTCGGGGAATCGAGAATCGGAGAATCAAAAATCGGAGAATCGAAAATCGGAGAATCGAAAATCGGAGAATCGAAAATCGGAGAATCGAAAATCGGAGAATCGAAAATCGGAGAATCGAAAATCGGAAAATCGAAAATCGGAGAATCGAAAATCAAACATCGAAAATCGGGGAATCGGGGTAGAACCAGGGGAGCGACCTCTTGTGTTGGTAGGGAACCGCCCAGCCACTGTCTCTCTCGGCGCGGAAGCTCCTCACGGTTCTCGAACTCGCCGTACCGGATATGTACGCATGTACTCTAGCCATGATTCGGAGGGCCGAAGCTGTCTGGTTCAGACGAGGACCATCATCTCGGCTAAAGTTCATTTCATTGGGAAGCGTCTGGGATCTGATCATCAACTACGCTTGCTTCTCGGTCGGGGTGGGACACCTAGGACCCCATCGCCCGTGCTAATTATCATCATCGACTCCCTAGCCTCGGCGAATTCCCCCCCCTCAGATCGGAGAAAAGAGACTCCACGAACGTTTGTCTCCTTACGCCACTCGTGATAGTCTGGGATTCCTTCTGGGATATTCGCTCACAATATTCGATTCTGAGATAAGAGAACCGTCCTCGAGAATATTGAACTCTTCAGATATGAATAAATCTCTGTCAAGATCATACGTTTGCATAAATTCGTGAAGGAGCTCGCATCTGGCGATTCAGGAGAGCTGCGCTACCTTGATTGAATCGATCCAAGAGCCAAGAGGTGACTCCTCGACCGGAGCCATCGCCGAGCGAGCTAAAATCTAACCTTTCTCCGAATTGAACTTGGGCTCGGATCAAAGCTGCGCCCTAATCAAACCAGGGGTCGAATCGAACCCGCGCTCGTCGCGCACGACGATTGGAGCCCAAGTACATTTGAGCGCAGTGTATATTCACCCAGGTATCAGAGAAAGAAAGGTGAACACCCAGGAATCAATCCG